CTTCTCAAAGGTCCTCACACCTCTTCTTCGCATCCACTTAATATCATCCACCCTAGGGTTTGCCATGAAGGCTTCCCTAGCAGTCACCAGGAAAGTTGGTCCTGTTCCTTCTGGCCTACAGTGGCAGAGCAGCTGAAAAAATGATTCAGCGGAGAGTAACAGTTTAACTAATTACTCATTCTCACTGATGGGAGACCAGGAGTATTAGCCAAAGTCCAGATGCCGTGGAAACCACATCCTTCCAGGCACACCCCCTGGCCAATAGCCAAGCAGAAAGCATCAAGTCAAGGTCTCCAGATGCTGGGGGCAAAGCTAAGCACTCCAAGAACAGCCATACTGAGATAGGCAGTCTCCCATCAACATTTTTCTGAGCCCAATCAACCTATGTTAAGGTTTAAGTTTTGACTGGCTTGGTGGCTTGTGCTTGTAATCCCAGCTACTAATGAGGCTGGGGTAAAAGAATCAGTTGAGCCCAGGAGTTCAAGGTTGTGCTAAGCTATGATTGTGCCACTGCACACCAGCCTGGGCAAAAAGGAAAGACCCTGTCTCTAAAAAATAAAAATAAAAAGTTGAAGTTCTGGTGATACAGACAGGAGACAGGAAAATACTGGGCAGAAGAGGGCAGTTCCCTGGCAAAGGCCTCACCCCCAAGCCTGAATACCCATAAGTGAGAACAGGCATTCCTGTTTTTGTGCTGAAAATGTTGCCTTTTGGCCCATTATGCCCCATATAAACCCCAAACCCGAGGCTCCAGAAGCGGGAGATGAGGAGATGAGCAGACAAATGGCAAAATGGCACAGCAGAGGAGAGAAGAAACATCAGGAGGAGTTTGGCTGCGGACAGTTGGAGAACCAGCCACTGGATGGCTAAACTCCAGGGGAAGATCATCTTCCCACTCCGTCCCCTGTCCAGCTCCTCATCCATCCTGCTGACAGCCACCTCCACCACCCAATAAAACCCTGCATTCACCATCCTTCAAGTCCATTTGTGACCTGATTCTTCCGGGACCCTGGACAGCTCAGGATATGGAAAGCTACCACACTTGCCCTCTTCCTTTGCAGAAAGGCAGAGGCCACTGAGCTGATTAACACTTAAGCCATCTACAGATGGCGAGGCTAAAAGAGCACACTGTAACACACGCCCACTTGGGCTCCTGCACATGTCGGTCTGTGTGCTCCCAGTCCTGTAAGAGGTTTGAGCAGCAGTGGTGACCAGACAAGCCACACCCCTGTCACACATATTGTGAGAGGGATCAGGGAACTCTCCTGTTTCACTGGCACATTTGTTGGACCCTCCATCATGTCCCTGGTGTTAGCAACCCAGCCACACTGACAGGCCAAGCAACACAGCTGCACGGTGTGAGAACTTCTTGTCCACTACTGCTCTTCAGATTCACAAGTGGACTCACACTAGAGAGAAGCCTTTTGTGTGCAGCATTCATGGGCAAGCTTTTACCAACAAAGGCAACTTGAAGGTCCACTGTTTGCATGGAGCAAACAATAACTCAGCACAGCAGAGAAGGAAGCTAGCCATTGAGAACACCATGGCTCCATTAGGTATAGATGGAAAGAATCTCAGAAATGTTTCCCAGAAATCCTGGCCCCTTCGGTGAAGGTGGAGGAACCGATACACCAACATGCTCAACAGTGGTCTTGTCATGAAGACTAACGAGATCTCTATGATCCAGAATGGTGGTGTTCCCACCTGCCCAGTTTCTGTGGGGGCCAAGTCTGCTGTGAATAACACTACTGAGTCCAAGATGGATGTCTCCCAATCAGGTATCAGTGCCAATGTGGAAAAACCAGGTGCTACTGAGAGTATTCCCACACACTGGTTCCCTCAATTCCTGGAAAAAAACGAGATTGTGGTCAGCTATGCTAAAGGGGGACTTGCCAGTAAGAAGTGCAGACAGAGTGAAATGTCTAGACCAAGCAAGCCTGTCCAACCCTCTGCCCACAGGCCACATGCAGCACAGGACAGCTTTGAATATGACCCAAAACAAATTTGAAAATTTCTTAAAACTTGCTGAGATTTTTTTTGTGAGGTTTTTTTTTAGCTCATCGGCTATTGTTAGTGTTCATGTATTTTATGTGTGGACCAAGACAATTCTTCTTCTTCCAGTGTGGCCCAGGGAAGCTAAAAGATTAGATACTCCTGGTCTAGACTATGCTTTTTATTCATTTATTATTTTTTATTTGTATAAACGTATGCGGTACAAGTATAATTTGGTTACCTGCATAGACTTTGTAGTGGTGAAGTCAGGGCTTTTAGGGTATTGATCACCCAAATAACCTACATTGCACCCCTTAAGTAATCACTCATTATCCACCTGCTCCCATTGCCTTACCCTTCCAAGTCTCTGTTGTCTATCATTCCACACACTACCTCTGTACACTTTATTTGGCTCCACTTATAAGTGAGGATATGAGATATTTGCCTTTCTGTGCCTGGCTTGTTTCACTGAAGTTAATGGCCTCCAGTTCCATCCATATTGCTGCAAAAGACATGACTGCATCCTTTCTATGGCTGCGGAGTATTCCATGATGCATACGTACCATAGTTTCTTTATCTAATCCTCCACTGATGGACACTTAGGTTGATTCCTTATCTTTGCTATTGTGAATAATGCTGTGATAAACATACTAGTGCAGGTGTCTTTTTGATATAATGATTTATTTTCCTTTGGGTACATACCCAGTAGTGGGATTGCTGGATGAAAAGAGGCTGCATTCTTAGTTCTTTGAGAAATCTCCATACTGTTTTCCATACAGGTTGCACTAATTTACATTCCCAGCAACAGTATATGAGTTCATTCCCTGTTCTCCGCATTTTTCTCCTTTTAATAATAACTATTCTGACTAGTGTAAGATGGTTTCTCATTGTGGTTCCAATTTGCACATCCCTCATGATTAGCGATGTTGAGTATTTTTTCGTATGTCGGTTGGCCATTTATCTTCTTTCAAGAAATGCCTATTCATGTCCTTTGCCCCATTTTTTAATAGGATTAATTTTTTTAAACCCATCTCCTCCTGTTTTCCTTATTCTTACTGATATGCAAATGATATTTACAGATGGCAACCTCAGGCAGTTCTACAATCACAATTGTTGTCACGCTGCTTTGCAAAACATAAGAACAAAAAACAAAATCAAAAAAAGAAAAATATCTATACCAAAATAAAGACAGACTGTAATTATTTTTTAATTTTGGAAAGAAGCAAGTCTTGAAAGTAGCTTTCTTACTTCCAACAAACTGTATAAGAGAAATTCTGTACAACCCATAGACTGTTACCTATTTCAAGGTGGAACAGTTTGAACTTACTGAACCACAGTGGAAAAGACAACTACTTAGCTTAATGTGGTGGGGAGGAGTACTGTATACTTCCATGATAACTGTCTGCAAGTAAAGGGACAAGGCTGCCATCTAGTTAGGGACCTGTTTTGTATGCCTCCCACCCTATACCCATCTTTTGTTTTGTTTGGTTTTTTGAATGTACTTTCAAAAACAAAGCAAAAAAAAAAAAGACTGTAGAATAACAAATTACTCCAAAAAAAATTTTTTTTACATGGAGTCTCAATGTCACCCAGGAGGCTGGAGTACAATGGTGCAATCTCAGCTCACTGCAACCTCCACCTCCGGGTTTCAAGGGATTCTTCTGCCTCAGCCTCCAAAGTAGCTGGGATTACAGATGCCCACCACCACACCCAGCTAATTTTTGTATGTTTAGTAGAGACAGGGTTTCAGTTTCGCCATGTTGGCCGGCTGGTCTCAAACTCCTGGGCTCAAGTGACCAGAAGTGGTGGTGTTCCCACCCTCCCAGTTTCCGTGGGGGCCAACTCTGCTGTGAATAACACTACTGAGTCCAAGATGGCTGGCTCCCAGTCAGGTATCAGTGCCGATGTGGAAAGACCCAGTGCCAATGTGGAAAGATCCGCCCACCTCGGCTTCCCAAAGTGCTGGATTACAGGCGTGAGCCGCCACCGCACCCGGCCTCCTTCAACTTTAGAATCTTAAGTCGGATGCCCTCAAATGGACTTATTTTAGTTGTTAGGGAGTCAGTGTCTGCTTATTTAAATACAGTTCAATTGGAGCCACAAGCATGCGAATGTATTCCCTACACTTTCCTTTGCCTTCCTGAACACCAGAAGAGGTGGGCCAGATAGCAGGGAATCTCAGGTGACTTAATTTAGTTCACCAGTGCCTACTCAGTTGAAGAACTGAATTTTCATTCCAGGGAAGAAACTGCTTTTCAGAGGAAAGGAGCAATTCCTTTCACAGGTTCAAATACTAATTTTTTAAAAATACAGTTGGTGCAACTTATGTCAAGTAATCATGCAGATTTTTTGCCCTGAGTATTGCATGAAGGCCACAAAGTTGGAACAGGCAAGTCCTGGATATGAAAGCTTTAATTTAAATACCTCACTTTTCTTTTGTAGCCATCATCTCTATTTTCTTATTTTATGACCACTGAAGTATTCCTAGGCCCTGTCTTTTTGTTTGTTTTTGAGATGAAGTCTCATTCTGTTCCCTAGGCTGGAGTGCAGTGGCACAATCTCGGCTCACTGCAACCTCTGCCTCCCAGGTTCAAGGGATTCTCCTGCCTCAGCCTCCTGAGTAGCTGGGATTACAGGGGTGTACCACCACGCCTGGCTAATTTTTGTATTTTGAGTAGAGATGTGGTTTTACCATGTTGGCCAGGCTGGTCTCAAACTCCTGATCTGAGCTGATCCATCTGCCTCAGCCTCCGAAAGTGCTGGGATTACAGGTGTAAGCCACCTTGCCTGGCCTCTGTCTTTTTTTTTTTTTTTTTTTTTTAATAGATGGGAGTCTCGTTCTGTCACCAGGCTGGAGTGCAGTAGTGCAATCTTGGCTCACTGCAACCTCTGCCTTCCAGGTTCAAGTGATTTTCCTGCCTCTGCCTCCCAAGTAGCTGGGACTACAGGCACCTGCCACCATGCCCAGCTAATTTTTGTATTTTTAGTAAAGACAGGGTTTCACCATGTTGGCCAGGATGGTCTCGATCTCTTGACCTAATGATCCACCCACCTCAGCCTCCCAAAATGCTGGGATTACAAGCATAAGCCCCCGCCCCAACTGCCTCTGTCTTAAACCTAAGTGTTACTGGTGGAGGGTGTCCAGGTTCTTGGTGTATTGGACAAAACACACAAAGCACAGAAAGAATGAAGCAACAAAAGCAGATTTATTGAAAATGAAAGTACACTCCACAGTGTGGGAGCCGGCCTGAGCAGTAGTTTAAGGGCCCAGATACAGACTCTTCTTGGGTCCAAATACCCCTTAGAAGTTTCCCATTGGCCACTTGGTTTTCACCTCATGTAATTGAAGTGGTGGCCTACAATCACTTTGATTGGTTGTGGACAGCAACCAATCAGAGGCTGAAGTTACAAAATTACACTCTTAAGCAAACCTCTGACTTGCAACCAATCAGAGGTTTGCATAAGAGTATAATTTTGTACTTTCAATTTGCCATCTGCTGAGCAGAAAAGGTGGGGGTTTGCAAAGGGAGTAGTCTCTGGTCTTTTTGATATTTAGGTGTGGAAAGTTGGGGTGTCCCTTTCAATTTAGTTCTAGGAAGTGAGCGTGAAACAGCCTTAGGTTCCCTGCCTCCAGACCCTATTCTCCTGCCTCATAAGAGTTGATGTATTGGTGGGAACAGCTGGACATATAAGATGTTTTCATGATTCCTTTTTTAAGATCCCCTTTTGTATATGTAATAATACTGAGCAAACAATGAAATGTTGCTCTAATAATTAAACAAGGAAGGAGAAAGACTCTAACTTGTGGGTGGAGAAATCTTTCCTCTCTAAGTAGAAAGCCCTTATTGAAATATGCAGCAAGACTGTTACCCAAAGTTTTGTCTCTTAGTTACCGCACCTGACTTGAGGATACAAAATTTTTTTTGTCTAGTTGTGCCTTTCCTTCTGGAATTGTAAGTGAACACAATAATAGTACCTCTTTACACTGTTAAGTGGACATGTTACAGCGAATGCACCAGTGGTTTTTCCACTGTTGAACTACCGATGCTTTGTGAATGTACCATCTATGGAGAATCCCCTGTAGTTGTACCTGCTGATGTTGTCTTGTCTGTTGGGAAAACAATTTTGCATGTTTTTCTCTCCAAAATAATAATTATATTATTTATATTACAATCAGTATTATAGTAAATGTAAATGAAATAAGTACTACACTCAAAAGTAAGGGCTAGACTGGGCATGGTGGGATGGTGGGTCATGCCTGTAATCCCAGTACTTTGGGAAACTGAGGCAGATCACTTGAGCTCAGCAGTTGGAGACCAAGCTGGGCAACATAGCAAAAATACAAAAAAAATTAGCCAGGTGTGGTGGTGCACACCTGTAGTTCCAGCTATTTGTGTGGCTGAGGCAAAAGGATCGCTTGAGCCTGGGAGGTCGAGGCTTCAGTGAGCCATGTTTACGCCACTGCACTCCAGCCTGGGTGACAAAGTGAGATCCTGTCTCAAAAAAAGTAAGGGATTATCAGACTGGATTTAAAAACATGATCTAACTATATGCTGTCTAGAACAGACACTTTAGATTCAATGTATAATACAATTAGGTTGAAAGGATGGAAAATAATATACCATGCAATAAACATGAGTGAGCCAGCTACACCAGTGTATTAGTTTTCTATTGCTGTGTAACAAATTATCATAAATTTAGTAACTTAAAACAATAACCATTTATTATCTCATAGTTCTCTAGGTCATAAGACCAGGCAAGTTCTCTACTCAACGTTTCAAAAAGTTAAAATCAAGATGTTGGCGAACACTTTTACACTGTTGGTGGGAGTGTAAAATTAGTTCAACCATTGTGGAAGACGGTGTGGCGATTCCTCAAGGCCTTAGAAATAGAAATTCCATTTGACCCAGCAATCCCATTACTGGGTATATATCCAAAAGACTATAAATCATTCTACTATAAGGACACATGTACACGAATGTTCATTGCAGCACTGTTTACAATAGCAAAGACCTGGAATCAACCCAAATGCCCATTGATAATAGACTGGATTGGAAAAATGCGGCACATATACACCATGGAATATTATGCAGCAATCAGAAATGATGAGTTTGTGTCATTTGTAGGGACATGGATGAATCTGGAGAACATCATCCTCAGCAAACTAACACAAGAACAGAAAATGAAACACCGCATATTCTCACTCATAGGCGGGTGATGAAAAATGAGAACACATGGACACAGAAAGGGGAGTACTAAACACTGGGGTCTATTGGGGGGAAAAGGGGAGGGCCAGTGGGAGGGGGATGTGGGGAGGGATAGCCTGGGGAGAAAAGCCAAATGTGGGTGAAGGGGAGAAGAAAAGAAAGCACACTGCCATGTGTGTACCTACGCAACTGTCTTGCATGCTCTGCTCATGTACCCCAAAACCTATAATCCAATAAAAAATTAAAAAAAAAAAAAAAGATGTTGGTCATGTTGGGCTCTTATATGGAAGTTCTAGGGAAGAATTCACCTGCAAATAAAAAACAGAATCTGCTTCCATGTTCATTCAAGTTATTAACAGAAATGTAGTTCCACGAAGCTGTAAAACTGAACTCTCCATTTCCTTAATACAGAGGTCCCCACTACCATCAAATAAACAATAGAGCATCAAATCCTTTTTGTGCTTTGAATCGCTGATGACCTCTTCTGGTACTAGCCAGAGAAAACTCTCTGTATTTAAAGGGTTTCCCTGACTAGGTCAGTTCTATAATCTCCATATACTGTTAACTGACTCAGGACTTTAAAAATATCTGGAAAATCCTTCAGAGCAGCACTCAGATTAACATTTTAATTAATTTAAACTTGATTAATTATAATTGACAAAGAAAATGATACATACCCATGGTATACAATATGATGCTTTGATATATGTATACATTGTGAAAGTATTAAATCAAGGTAACTAACATATCTGTCACCTCACATACTTATCACTTATTTGTGGTGAGAATGCAGTTATCCTCACACCATTTGTTGAAAATGTCATTTGCACATTGAATTATCTTGGCACCTTTGTCAGCCTTCAGCTGACCATAATATAAGGATTAATTCATGGACTCTCCATTATATTTCTATCCTCATGTCAGTATCTCATGGTCTTGATTACTGTGACTTATATATATAGTAAGTTTTGAAAGATGGAAATGACAATTCTCCTATTGGCTCTTTTTCAAAATTATTTGGTTATTCTGGGTCCTTTGCATGTCCATATCCTGTATATATTTTAGGAACAGATTACCAATTTCTACAAAAAATAAAGGAATGCTTTCTAGAATTTTTATAGGGATTTTGCTTCATTTTTATTTTGTTATTTTTGGTTTTAGAGATGGGTTCTCATCCTGTCACCTAGGCTGGAGTGCAGTGGCATGATCATGGCTCACTGTAGCCTCAAACTCCTGGGTTCAAGTGATCCTCCCACCTCAGCCTCTGGAGTAGCTGGGACTACAGGCATGCACCACCATGCCCGGCTGGGATTTCATTTAATTTATAGATCAATTTGGTGAAAACTGTCATCTTGGCAATACTGTCTTTCAATTCATGAAGATGGAATTTCTCTCCATTTTTAATTAAATTTAAAGATCTCTAATTTCCCTGAGCAATGTTTTATAGTTTTTGTGTATGTCTGCATTTGTTTTGCTAAATTTATTTCTAAGTATTTTATTCCTTCTGATGTTGCTGTGAATAGAACTGTCTCCCTAATGTCATTTTCACTGCTAGTATACTGATATATAATTTATTACATTTAACTTTTATCTCACATGCTCACTAAACTCACTTATTAGCCTAGATGCCTTTTTGTAGATTCCATCCAACTTTTACATTAAAGACCATCAACTGAAAAGAATGCTGGTTTTACTTCTTTCTTTCCAACTTGGATGGCTTTTATTCCTTTTTCTTTTCTGATTGCACTGGCTTCAAATGTCCAGGACAGTGTTTAACACAAGTGGCAAGAGTAGACATCCTTGACTTGTTTCCAATCTTGGGAGGACACTGTTCACTGTTCACTTTCACCAGCAATGTTACGATGATGTTATAATGTGACCTGTAGACTTTTCTCATGCCCTTTATTAGTTTGAGCAATTTACCTTGTATTCTGATTTTGTTGAGGATTGTTTAAAATTGTGGTAAAATATTTATAACATAAAATCTACCATGTTAACTATGTATATCGTTCAGGGCATTAAGGACATTTACATTGCTATGCAAGCATCAACACCATCCATCTCCAGAGTTTTTCATCTTCCCAAACTGAAACTCTGTACCCATCAAACAGTAACTCTCCATTCCTTCCTTCTTTCTCTTTCTTTCTTTCTTTCTTTCTTTTTTTTTTTTGACAGAGTCTTGCTCTGTCGCCCAGGCTGGAGTGCAGTGGCATGATCTCGGCTCACTGCAACCTCCACCTCAGGGGTTCAAGCAATTCTCTGCCTCAGTCTCCCGAGTAGCTGGGATTACAGGCACCCGCCACCACACTGGCTAATTTTTATATTTTTAGTAGAGATGGGGTTTCACCGTCTTGACCAGGCTGGCCTACTTTCTGTCTCTAAATTTGGTTACTCTAATTACCGCACGTAAGTGGAATCCTTTTGTGTTTTTTCCGATTCTATCTTATCTCCACTAACAAATCATTTTTTTTAGAGACAGGGTCTCACTATGTTGCCCAGGCTGCAGTGCTTTTCACAGGCACAATCATAGGGTATTATAGCCTCAAAATCCTGGGGTCAAGCTGTCCTCCTGCCTTGGCCTCACAGGCATGCATCACTGTGTCAGGCAAAACCTATCTTATCTCCATCAAAAATGGAGATAGGCTGGGCATGGTGGCTCATGCCTGTAATTTCAGCACTTTCCAAGGCCAAGTGGGTGGATCATTTGAGGTCAGGAGTTCGAGACCAACCTGGCCAACATGTCAAATCCCTATCTCTACTAAGAATACCAAAATTACCTGGGCATGGTGGCATGCACCTGTAGTCTCAGCTACTCAAGAGGCTGAGGCACGAGAATCACTTGAACCCAGGGGTGGGGGAAATAGGTTGCAATGAGCAGAGATAATGCCACTGCACTCCAGACTGGGTGACAGAGCAAGACTCTGTTTCAAAAAAAAAAAAAAGGAGATAAAATAGAATAATAAAAAAATACACAATCCAAAATAAGGCAGGAAAAAGAAAATAAAAGGAACAGAATAGGTGGGGAAAATAGAAAATAATTATAAAAAATAATAGATTTAAACTTAATCATAGATGGGCAAGGTGGCTCACACCTATAATCCCAGCACTTTGGCAGGCCAAGGTGGAGAACTGCTTGAGCCAGGAGTTCAAGACCAGCCTGGGCAACACAGCCAGACTCCATCCCTACAAAAAATTTAAAACTTAGCTGAGCATGGTGACCCTCACCTATAGTCCTAGGTACTTGGGAAGGTGAGGCGAGAGGTTCACTGAGGCCCAGGAGTTTGAGGCTGCAGTGAGCCACGATTGCAACACTGCCTTCCAGCCTGAGCAACAGCAAGACTCTGTCTCAAAAAAAAAACAATAAATAAACTTAATCATATAAATAATCACATTAAATTAAAATGGCCTAAATACTCCAATCAAAAGCAATGATTATCAGATTGGATAAAAAAGTAAAAACCAACTATATAATATCTATTAGAAACACACAGCCGGGTGCAATGGCTCACACCTGTAATCCCAGCAATTTGGGAAGCCAAAGAGGGTGGATCTCTTGAGCTCAGGAGTTCGAGACCAGCCTAGCCAACATGGTGAAACTCTGTATCTAAAATAAATAAATAAATAAAAAATAAGATAAAATAAAAAATTAGCCAGGCATGGTGGGGTTCACTTATAGTCCCAGCTACTTGAGGGGCAGAGGCAGGAGAATGGCTTGATCCCTGGAGTTCAAGGTTGTAGTGAGCTATGATCGTGCCACTGCACTCAAGAACCGTGGTGACAAAAGTGAGATCCTGTCTCAAAAAAAAAAAAAGAAAAAGAAAAAGAAAAAGAAAAAAAACAAGAAAGAAACACATTTTAACATGAAGCCACAAACAGGGTAAAAAGTAAAAAGGGTAAATTTAAAAAAAGACATGTCTTGTTAACACCAATCAAAAGAAAGCTCTAGGAGCTATATTAATATCAAAGTGGATTTCAGAGGAAAGAATATTCCCAGAAATAACAACGGTTATTTTATAATGATAACATGATCAATTAATCAAGAAGATTTAATAATCTTAAATGTTAGGCCAGGCTTGGTGGCTCACACCTGTAATCCCAGCAGTTTGGGAGGCCGAGGTGGGCAGATCATAAGATCAGGAGTTTGAGACCAGCCTGGCCAACATGGTGAAACCCTGTCTCTACTAAAAATACAAAAATTATCCAGGCATGATGGTGGGTGCCTGTAATCCCAGCTACTTGGGAGGCTGAGGCAGGAGAATTGCTTGAACTTGAGAGGTGGAGGTTGCAGTGAGCCAAGATCATGCCACTGCACTCCAGCCTGCTCTACAGAGCAAGACTCTGTCTCAAAATAATAATAATAATCTTAAGTGTTTATGCATCTGTATTAGTTTTCTATTATTGCATAACAAATTCTCACAAGCTTAGCAATTTAAAACAACATACATTTATTACCTCTCAGTTTACATGGATCAGAAGTCTGGGAACAGCTTAGCTAAGTCCTCTGCCCAGAATCTAAGGAGGCTGTAATCAAGGTATTAGCTGATAGCTTTATTCTCCTGGGGAAGCTCAACTAGGAAAGCATATACTTCCAGGCTCATGGTTGGCAGATTTTACTTCCTTGTGACTATATGGCTGAGGGCCATACCAACTTGACCTATTCACCAACTTCACCTAATTGACATTTATTATACTCCAACCAACCATAGTAGAATATACATATTTTTCAAAAGCACATAGACCATTTACCAATATACACCATATTTTGAGCCATAAAACAAGTCTCAATAGATTGTAAAGGATTCCAGTCATAAAAAGCATTTTCTCTAACCACAACTGAATTAAATTAAAAGTCAATAACAAAAAGACTTGTGGAAAATCTTGAAATATTTGTAAATCAAATAATGTATTGCTAAACAACCCTTGGGTCGAGGAAGATATCAAATGGAAAATTGAAAAGAATTTTGAGGCTAGGCACGGTGGCTCACACCTGTAATCCTAGTACTTTGGGAGGCTGAGGCAGGTGGATCACTCGAGGCCAGGAGTCCAAGGGCAGCCTGATCTACATATTGAAAACCCAACTCTACTAAAAATACAAAAATTAGCCAGGTGCGGTAGCATGCACCTGTAATCCCAGCTACTCAGGAGGCTGAGGCAGGAGAATCACTTGAGCCCAGAAGGCAGAGGTAGCAGTGAGCTGAGATCATGCCATTGCACTCCAACCTGGCTGACGGAGCAAGACTCCACCCCCCAAAAAAAGGAAGTATTATTCTAAAATAAAAATATATAAAGTTCTGGTTGATACATGCTTCAACACAGATGAACTTTTACAACATTATGCTAACTGAAAGAAACCGGTCTCAAAATACTACTTACTATGATTCCATTCATATAAAATACCTACAATAATAGGCAAATCTATAGAGAGGAAAAGTAGATTAGTGGTTGTTTATGGCTGGAGGTGGGGAAATGGGGAGGGACAGCTAATTGGTACAGAGCTTCTTTCAGTGGGGACAAAATGTTCTAAAATTGATGTTGGTGATGGTTGCACAACCACGTGACTATATTCGAAAATACTGTACACCTTAAATGAATGAAGTGTATGGTATGTGAATTATATTTCAACAAAACTGTTAAAAAATTCTAAATAAAAAGAAATTCTAAACAAAAGTTGAGCAAATCAAATTCAACAACATGTAAAAGGATAATATATCACAACCAAGTGGAGTTTACCCTAGGAATGGAAACTTGGTTTAACATTGGAAACCCAATCAATGCAGCTGGGCAGGGTGGCTCACACCTGTAATTTCTGCACTTTGGGAGGCCAAGTCAGGTGGATCATCTGAAGGAGTTCGAGACAAGCCTAGCCAACATGATGAAACCACATCTCTACTAAAAATACAAAAAAATTAGTTGGGTGTGGTGGTGCACGCCTGTAATCCCAGCTATTCAGGAGGCTGAGGCAGGAGAATCACTTGAATCTGGGAGGCGGAGGTTTCAGTGAGCCAAGATCAAACCATTACACTCCAGCCTGGGCAACAAGAGCAGAAACTCCGTCTTAAAAAAAAAAAATAAAAGAAACCCAATCAATGCAATTCACATATTAACAAACTAAAAAAGAAAAACCATGTGATATCTCCATAGACATAAAAAAAAAAGCATTTGACAATCCAAATGTATTCGTAATAATAACTCAGCAAACTAAGAAGAGAAAGAAAATTTCCTCAACCTGATATAGGACATTTACCAAAATAAAAAGTCTATGGCTAAATCGTACTTCATAGTGAAAGACTGAAAGCTTCTTAAGATGGAGAGCAAGACAAGGATGTTCATTCCAACCTCTCTATTTAAAATATTGTATGGTGGCCGGGCGCGGTGGCTCAAGCCTGTAATCCCAGCACTTTGGGAGGCCGAGGCGGGTGGATCACGAGGTCAAGAGATCTAAACCATCCCGGTCAACATGGTGAAACCCCGTCTCAACCAAAAATACAAAAAATTAGCTGGGCACGGTGTTGCGTGCCTGTAATCCCAGCTACTCGGGAGGCTGAGGCAGGAGAATTGCCTGAACCCAGGAGGCGGAGGTTGCAGTGAGCCGAGATCCCGCCATTGCACTCCAGCCTGGGTAACAAGAGCGAAACTCCGTCTCAAAAAATAAAATAAAATATTGTATGGTAAGTCCTAGGCAATGAAATCAGATAAAGGGGAAAAAATGAATGCCATGAAGATTGGAAAGGAAGAAGTAAAACTTTTTATTTTATTTTTTTGCAGATGACATGATTGTTTATGTAGAAAATTAGATGGAAATTACAAAAAAAGCTACTAGAATAAGTGACCTCAGAAAAATTACAGGGTAAGAGATCAATATACAAACATTAATTTCATTTCTACATAATAACAGTGAACAACTGGAAACTGAAATATAAAAAGCAATGAGTTTTGGGGTTTGAGACAAGGTCTCACTCTGTCCCGCAGGCTAAAATAAAACAAAACCAAACCACATTGATGAGAATATTCCAAAGAGACACAGGATTCTGAATGCCATTTCTTCAGCGAAAAAAAAAAGGGAGAGAGAGACAGGAACCAACAGAAAGAGCTCTCAATAATTTCAGCAACAAAACTAAATAGTGTTGGATTACAGCAAAAATTATAAAATCAATGCCCAGGAGTGCATATTGGTATAAATAAATTACTGAATAAATTAATAGATATGGGAGAAGAAATAAGTTCCATGGGCAGAAAGATTCCAGATAATTTATGTAAGCATTCAGCCCTTGAGGAGAGGGTACCTAACTCTCCACTTGAGTGTGTGCTGTACATACTGACTTCCTGCTGAAGAGTACAGCAAGGAAAACAGGGGAAAGGAGTCACTTTACTATGAAAAACCTAACAAACACTGCCTCAGCCAAGTGATCAGGACTCTGATATGGTTTGGCTCTGTGTTGCCACCCAAATCTTATCCCCACATATCAAGGGAGGGACCTGTAACCCCCACGTATTGAGGAAGGGAAGTAACTGGATCATGGGGGCGGTTTCCCCCATGCTGTTCTCGTTATAGTTGGGTGAGTTTTCCTAAGATCTGACAGTTTTTCTTTTTTCTTTTTTTTTTTTTTTTGAGATGGAGTCTTGCCCTGTTGCCCAGGCTGGAGTGCAATGCATCCTCCACCTCCCAGGTTCAAGGGATTCTCCTGCCTCAGCCCCCAAGTAGCTGGGATTACAGGCACCCACCATCATGCCTGGCTAATTTTTGTATTTTTAGTAGAGACAGGGTTTCACCATGTTGGCCAGGCTGGCCTTGAACTCCTGACCTCGTGATCCACCCACCTCAGCCTCCCAAAGTGCTGGGAATACAGGCATGAGCCACTGCACCCAGCCAATCTGACGATTTTATAAGTGTCTGACAGTTCCTCCTTCAAAAGCACATCTCTCTCCTGCCTCCTTGTGAAGAAGGTTCTTGCTTCACCTTCACCTTCCACCATGATTCTGTTTCCTGAGGTCTCCCCAGCCATGCAGAACTGTGAGTCAATGAAATCTTTTTCCTTTATAAATTGCCCAGTCTCAGGGAAGTTCTTTACAGCAGTGTGAAAATAGACTGACATAGACCCCATCAACAGTGAGATGTCATGTCGACAATATGAGCCTTTTTTTAAACAATATGTGCCTTTGATATGATGTGATAAAATGGCACTTCTTCCCCTAACTCATAACCAAGTCTACTCGTGAGAAAACAACAGGCAAATCCCAATGAATGGGGCATCCTACAAAATACCTGACCAGTACTCTTCAAAACCGTCAAGGTTATCGAAGACAAGGAAAGTCTGAGAAACTATCACAACCATCAGGAGCCTAAGGAGACTAAATGTAACATGATATCCTGGATAGAATTCTGGAATAGAAAAAGGACATTAGGTAAAAACTAGGAAATTCTGACTGACTTTGGTTAATAACAATGTGTCAATGCATTATTGTAATTTTGAGAAATTTGATCCAGAAATATATAAAAATGATATCATGACCAAGTAAGGTTTATCCCAGGAATGCAAAGTTGGTTTAACATTTAAAGAAATCCATCAATGTAACTAACTGACCACCTTAACAGAATAAAGTTTTAAAAAGTATAGATTTGTTTTAAAAAATGCAGAAGAAGCACTTGAAAAATCCACACCCATTTATGATATTTTTAAAAAATTTGACAAACTAGAAATAAAAAAATAATTTCCTCAATATGATAAAAGGAATCTATGAAAATCTTATAATTAACCTGATACTCAGTGGTAAACTATTGAGGCTTTCCCCCAAAGAATGAGAACAAGGCAAGGATGTCTGCTTATACCATTTCAATTCAACATTGTCCTAGATGTCCTAATCAGGGCAATAAGGCAATAAAAGAAATGAAAGCCATCCATATCGAAAAGGAAGAAATAAAACTGTTTTTATTCATAAATGACATGGATTTCCATGCATGGAAAATCCTCAGGATCCTACAAAAATCAACAGAACTAACTAGTGAATATAGTGATATCACAGGATGCAGAGACAATATACAAAAATTAATTGTATTTCTATATGCTAGCAAAAAAATAGAAACGAAATTTTACAAAATATTTACATTAGCATCAAAAATATGAAATGCTTAGGGACAAATTAAAGAAATATGTGAATAATTTCTACATTGCAATCTACAAAATGTATAGAGAGAAATTAAAGAAGTTTTAAGTAAACAGAGAACTATACCGTGTTCATGAATTGGAAGGCTCAGTATTAAGATGTCAATTAAGGCTAGGTGCAATGGCTCACGCCTGTAATCCCAGCACTTTGAGAGGCCAACGCAGGTGGATCACTTGACGCCAGGAGTACAAGACTAGCCTGGCCAACATATGGTGAAACTCCATCTCTACTAAAAACACAAAAATTAGCTGGGTGCAGTGGTGCATGCCTGTAATCCCAGCTACTTGTGAGGCTGAGGCTTGAGAATCACTTCTACCCAGGAGGCAGAGGTTGCAATGAGCTGAGATCGGGCCACTGCACTCCGCCCTGTGACAGAGCAAGACTCTGTCTTATCAATAATAATAAAAAAAGATGTCAATTCTCCTCAAATTTATCTATAAATTCAATTAATTTCAATCGAAATCCCAGTAGGTTGTTTTTATAAAAATTGAAAACCTGGTTTCAACAATTTATGTGGAATAGAAAAATATTACCAGGCATGGTGGCACACACCTATAATCCCAACTACTTGAGAGGCAGAGGTGAGAGGATCGCTTGAGGCCAGGAGACCCGTCATCTCAAGAGAGGTCAAGAGAGGAGGGGAGGGGAGAGGAGGGGAGAGAGAGGGAGGGAGGGAGGGAGGGAGGGAAGGAAACTTGTAATAGCCAGAACAATTTTTGAAAAACAAAAATGAAGCTGAAGAACATAAACTACCTGAATTCAAGACCTATTATAAAGCTACAAATATGCAAATATCTAAACAGCATAATTGTATAAAGCTGCACCAAAAAAAACCAAAAAACACCCTGGCATAGTTATTGTGTAATAATAGACAAACAGATCAATGAAAGTAAATAGAGAGACAGTAAACAGACCCACATATTTATGGTGAATTTATATTCAACAAAGATGCCAAGACAATTCAATGGGGAAGGATGGAGTAAATAGAATTTGAAGAAATAATGGCAAATGATTTCCCAAATTTGGGGAAAGACATTTATGTTTAGGATCAAGAAGTAACTGAACTCAAGCGGGATAAAAACAATGTCTTGGTGCATTATAGTCAAACTTCAGAATACCAAAAATTAAGAGAAAATCTTTAAAATATCCAGAAAAACATGATATACTACATACTAGGAAATGGTAATCTGAATAACTGTTGAGTCCTCATAAGAAACTATAGAGGCCATTCAGCTGGGGATGATGAAATAAATTGAAGATGAATGGTGAGGAGGGTTGCACACCAATGTGAACATTCTATTTTTTTTTTAAATAGAGATGGTGTCTTGCTATGTTGCCCAGGTTGCTCTCAAACTCCTGGCCTCAAGTGATCCTCCCACCTTGGTCTCCCAAAGTGCTAGGATTACAGGTGTGAGCCACCATGCCCAGCCATGAATGTTCTCAATGCCACAAAACTGTACTTAAAAATAATTAATCCTGAGAAGATGCATTAGAATAAAAAAATGGTAAAATGGTAAATTTTGTTCCGTACATTTTACCACAATTAAAAAAAAAAAAACTATAGAGTTCAAAAGACCGTGGAACAGCATCTTTAAAATGCTGCAAAAAAGAAAGGACAACAATCAGGCCAGAATTTTTTTTTTTTTTTGAGACAGTCTCATTCTGTCTCCCAGGCTGGAGTGCAGTGGCACAATCTTGGCTCACTGCAACCTCCATTTCCCAGATTCAAGTGATTCTTGTGCCTCAGCCTCCCAAACAGCAGGGATTATAGGCGCCCACCACCATGCTGGGCTAATTTTTGTATTTTTAGTAGAGACATTGTTTCATCATGTTGGCCAGGCTGGTCTTGAACTCCTGGCTTCAAGTGATCCACCCACCTCAGCCTCCCCAAGTACTGGGATTATATGCGTGAGTAACCACATCTGGCCCAGAATTCTATATCTGGAGATAATATCCTGCAAGAATGAAGGTACTCATAACCCTCTTACACAGCGGGGGGGAATGTAAAATAGTATAGCCACTTTAGAAAACAATCTGGCAGTTTCTCAAATGATTAAACATAGAATTACCATATGACCCAGCAATACTCAAAAGAATAGAAAACAGGGCCGGGCACAGTGGCTCATGCCTGTAATCCCAGCACTTTGGGAGGCCGAGGTGGGGGGATCACGAGGCCAAGAGATCGAGACCATCCTGGTCAACATGGTGAAACCCCGTCTCTACTAAAAATACAAAAATTACCTGGGCATGGTGGTGCGCACCTGTAGTCCCAGGTACTCGGGAGGCTGAGGCAGGAGAATTGCTTGAACCCAGGGGGCAGAGGTTGCGGTGAGCCGAGATTGCGCCATTGCACTCCAGCCTGGGTAACAAGAGCAAAACTCCGTCTCAAAAAAAAAAAAAAAAAAAAACACTGAATTGTACATTTAAATTGAGGAAATCATATGATACGTAAATCATATCTCAAGCTGTGGTTTTTTCTTTGTTTGTTTGAGACCAAGTCTCACTCTGTTGTCCAGGCTGGAGTGCAGTGGTGTGATCTCAGCTCACTGCAACCTCCACCTCCCAGGTTCAAATGATTCTCATTTCTCAGCCTCCTGAATAGTTGGGACTACAGGCGTGAGATAACATGCACAGCTGGTCTTGAACTCCTGACCTCAGGTGATCCATCTGCCTCAGCCTCTCAAAGTGCTGGGATCACAGGCATGAGCCACTGTGCCCTGCCTATTGTTTGGTTTTGTTTTGTTTTTCTGAGATAGGGTCTTGCTCTGCTGCCCAGGCTAGAGTAAGATGGCATCTCAGCTCACTGCAACCTCTGCCTTCCAGGCTCAAGCAATTCTCCCACCTCAGCCTCCTGAATAGCTGGGACTACAGGTTCACACTACCATACCTGGCTAATTTTTGTGTTTTTTGTAGAGACAGGGTTTCTCCATGTTGTTCAGGCTGATCTTGAACTCCTGACTTCAAGCAATCTGCCCACTTCGGCCTCCCAAAGTGTTGGGATTACAGGCATGAGCCACCACATCCGGCCTCAAGCTGTTTTTTGAAAAAGAATGAAGGTGGAAACAAGACATTTTCAGATAAACGAAAAACAAGAGAATTCATCACTAACAGAGTGCCTAAAGATGTTTCTTAGGGTCGGAAATACATGATACTAGAAGGAAAGTCAAAGCTTTAGAAAGGAATCCTAAGAACATTAAAAATGATAAATAATTGGGTAAACATAAAAGACTATTTTCCTCTTAATTTACTAAAAATACCTTAAATTTCTTTTTCGTTTATAGAGATAGGGTCTTACTCTATAGGTGGGAGAATAGTGGCACAATCCCAGCTCACTGCAGCCTCAACCTCCCAGGCTTCAGTGATTCCCCCACCTCAGCTTCCCAAGTAGCTGGGACCACAGGCGAACCCCACCACGCTTGGTTAACTTTTTAATTATTATTTTTGTAGAGATAGTGTCTCACTCTGTTGCCCACGCTGGTCTCAAACTCCTGGGCTCAAACAATCCTCCTGCCTTGGCTTCCCAAAGTGCTGGGATTACAGGCATGAGCCACCACACCCAACTATAAATTAATTTTTTTTTTGAGATGGAATCTCGCTCTGTTGCCCAGGCTGGAGTGCAGTGGTACAACCTCAGCTCACTGCAACCTCTGCCTCCCCGGTTCAAACTATTCTCCTGCCTCAGCTTCCCAAGTAGCTGGATTACAGGCGCCTGTCAACAAGCCCCACTAATTTTTGTATTTTTAGTAGAGACAGGGTTTCACCATGCTGGCCAGGCTGGTCTTGAACTCCCAACCTCAGGAGATCTGCCTGCCTCAGCCTCCCAAAGTGCTAGGATTACAGGCATGAGCCAGCAAACCCAGCCTATACATTAAATTTTTTTTTTTGAGACGGAGTTTCGCTCTTGTTACCCAGGCTGGAGTGCAATGGCGCAATCTCGGCTCACCGCAACCTCCGCCCCCTGGGTTCAGGCAATTCTCCTGCCTCAGCCTCCTGAGTAGCTGGGATTACAGGCACGCGCCACCATGCCCAGCTAATTTTTTGTAATTTTTAGTAGAGACGGGGTTTCACCATGTTGACCAGGATGGTCTCGATCTCTTGACCTCGTGATCCACCCGCCTCGGCCTCCCAAAGTGTACATTAAATTTTTTAAAGCCAAAATTGTAACATTATCTTACGGGGTCCAAATATGTAGTTGCAGCACACATAGCGTTTCAGCATACAGATTGAGTGGAGGAAGATACTTTAAAATTTGCTGTTGCTTTTCTTTTCTTTTCTTTTCCAGAGATAAGGTCTGGCTCTGTTGCCCAAGCTGGAGTTCAGTCATGTCATTGTAGCTCACTGCAGCCTGAAGTTCCTGGGTTGAAGTAATCTTCCTGCCTCAGCCTTCCAAGTAGCTAGGACTACAGGCACATACGACCATGAAAAGTTTGAAATTTTCTGTAGAGATGAGGTCTTGCTATGTTCCCCAGGGTAGTCTTGAACTCCAGCCTCAAAGGATCCTCCAACCTCAGCCTCCCAAAGAATTAGAATTACAGGCATAAGCCACCATGCCCACCCTATATTGCTTTTATAATCTGGGAATATGAAGATATTTTTCTCTCTAAATTTAGGAACTCAAATAGCAAACCTGAATGGAATGTATATCCTAGATTAGAAATGACTGTGTGCCAAAATCTTTTGTGCCTAAGAATTAATGTTAATCAAATATTTCCTCATTACACACTGTACCATATTGTTGATAATTATTGTGAGCAGTAGCATTTTCAGTTGGGAGGCAGAGGCAAGAGGATTGCTGAAGCCTAGGAGTTTGAGACCAGCCTAGACAACACAGTGAGACACTTATCTCTATAAAAAATAAAAATAAAATCAGCCATGCATGGTGGCATGTGCCTGTAATCCCAGCTACTCGGGAAGCTGTGATGAGACGATCACCTGAGCCCGGAAGGTCGAGGTTGCAGTGAGCCATGATTGCACCACTAAACTCCCACCTTGATGACAGAGTGAGACCCCCCATCTCAAAACTTTAAAAGAAAAGTATAACTTATCTCAGGTTAATGCTTTTGGTGATGTATGCTTATAACCATATGCCCCATCTCTGATGTCTTAACAGTTTAATCAGGTAGATGTCAGCAACTCTAAACTCAGTACAGAGAGGGGCTGTTTGTCGACAGTGTCTAGCTCATTCCCAAAAGACCTCCATAGAAGTTGTTTTTTTTTTAAACGAATAGAGACAGGGGTCTCGCTATGTTACCCCGGCTGATCTTGAACTGCTGGGCTCCAGCAACTCTCTCACCTCAGCCTCCCAAAGTGCTAGGATCACAGATATGAGCCACCACACCCGGCCCTTGGAAGTTTTTGATAAGCTGGGTGTGCACCTGGTATCCCAGCCACTCTGGAGGCTGAGGCAAGAGGATCCTGGGAGTTTGAGTCCAGTCTGAGCAACATAGCAAGACCCTGGCTCAATATAAAATATAAATTTTAGGCTGGGCATGGTGACTCATGCCTGTAATCCCAGCACTTTGGGGGGTGTGACTTGCTTGAGCCCATGAGTTTGAAGCCAGTCTGGGCAACATAGGGAGACCCCATCTCTACCAAAAATTAGCCAAATGTGGTAGCATGTGCCTGTGATCCCAGGTACTTAAGAGGCTGAGGTGGGAGGATCACTTGAGCCTGGGAGTTTGAGGCTGTGGTGAGCTATGATTGTGCCACTACACTCCAGCCTGGGTGACAAAGCAAGATCCTGTCTCCAAAAAAAGTAAATTTTATTGAATTATTAAAAATAAAGAAGTTTTTATTAACACATTGACTTCTGGTATTTCTTTTTTAAATTTCTTTTCATTTATTTATTTTTAGATGTGGTCTCACTCTGTTGTCCAGGCTGGAGTACAGTGGCACGATCTCAGCTCACTGCAACTTCTGCCTCTGGGTTCAAGCAATCCTCCCACCTCAGCCTCCCAAGTAGCTGGGACTACAGGCGCATGCCACCATGCCGGGCTAAATTTGGTATTTTTTGTAGAGACAGGGTTTTGCCATGTTGCCCAAGCTGGTCTTGAACTCATGGGCTCAATCAATCTACCCGCCTCCGTCTCCCAAAGTGCTGGGATTATAGGCGTGAACCACCACACCCAGCCCTCTTTTTTATTTTTAACTTGACTAAGCTTACTGGATTCTTCCTGTATTTCTAAATATTGTTGCATGTTAACTAGTATTAATTTGCATTCCTCTCAGTGAGCATAGGATATAGCTGTTTAGCCAAATTTATACAAATTACATAGATAACCACCATTTTGCAGCTCAAATAACATTTAGAATCATTTATTCTAAGCAGTGAAATACCAACAAATGTTTAACAGACTGGGATAGGGGGAAGTAATGCTGGCTTGTAGCATCCTGATTTCCATGATGTAAATACTCCCACCATGACCAATTTCAAATCACCAATGTGAAGTCAATGAGCTCAGGACGTTCCCGAAATTCTGACAATCAACCTTTGGGAGCTGGTATGAGCCGGCTCTAACTCCACTAACTCTACACTCACTGATTTACATTTTCTCAAGGTTTTGTGTAATGGATAGACTTGTAAAGAGAAACAAAAGCCGGCTGGGTGCAGTGGCTCAAGTCTGTAATCCCAGCACTTTGGGAGGCCAAGGCAGTTGGATCATGAGGTCAGGAGTTCGAGACCAACCTAACCAACATGGTGAAACCCTGTCTCTACTAAAAAAAATACAAAATTAGCCAGGTGTGGTGGCACACGCCTGTAATCCCAGCTACGTGGGAGGCTGAGGCAGAAGAATCACTTGAACCTGGGAAGCAGAGGTTGCAGTGAGCCGAGATGGTACCATTTCAGCCTGGGCAACAAGACAGAAACTCTGTCTCAAAAAATAATAATAATTAAATCACATGAAAACATATGTCCACCAAGAGCAGCCAAAAACTAGAAACAACCCAAATGTTCATGAACCAATGAATGGATAAATTTCAGTCTATCCATATATTGAGAGACTATTCAGCAATAAGAAATGAAGTACTGATACATACTATAACATGGATAAACCTTGAAAAATTATGTTAACTCAAAGAAGCCAGTCACAAAATACTACATATTTATGATTCCATTCATATGAATTCTCCAGAATAAAACCTATAGAGACAGAAAATAGATAAACAATTGCCTAGAGCTGGGAGGGGAAACAATGAGGGGTGATGGCTAAGGGATACAAGGCTTCCTTTTGGGATGGTGAAGAATGTTCTTAAAATTTACTGTGGGCCAGGTGTGGTGGCTCATGCCTGTAATCCCAACGTTTTGGGGGGCCAAGGTGGGTGGATCAAGAGGTCAGGAGTTTGAGACCAGCCTGACCAACATGGTGATACTCCGTCTCTACTAAAAATACAAAAATTAGCCAGGTGTGGTAACTTGAACCTGTAATCCCAGCTACTTGGGAGGCTGAGGCAGGAAAATTGCTTGAACCCAGGAGGTGGAGGTGGCAGTGAGCCGAGATCACACCACTGCACTTCAGCCTGGGTGACAGAGCAAGACTCCATCTCAAAAAATAAATAAATAAAAATTTACTGTCGTCGTGGTTGCACAACTCTGGATGTACGAAAAGCCATAGAATTGTACACTTAAATTTAAAGTTAAAAAAAAAAAGGCTGGGTATGGTGGTTCATGCTTGTAATCCCAACATTTTGGGAGGCCAAAATGGGAGGGTTGCTTGAGCCCCGGAGTTTGAGATCAGGCTGGGCAACAAAGTGAGACCTCCGTGTCTACAATTTTTTTTTAAACAAATTAGCCAGGCATGGTGGCACTTGCCTGTGGTTCCAGCTACTTGGGAGGCTGAGTTGGGAGATGGCTTGAGCCTGGAGGTCAAGGCTATAGTGAGCTGTGATCTTGCCACTTTCACTTCAGCCTGGGCAACAGAGCAAGATCTTGCCTCAAAATGAAATAAAATAAAAGAATAAACCATTGATTGGCCAGGTGTGGTGGCTCACGCCTGTCATCCTAACACTCTAGGAGGCCAGGGTGGGTGGATTGCTTGAGTACAGGAGTTTGAGACCAGCCTGGGAAACATGGTGAAACCATGTCTCTATTCAAAAGTAAAAATAAAAATAAAATACTATGATACAGACAATAATCTGAATAAATCTCCAGTGAAAATACCCAATCCCAAGAAGTTGCATCCTGTATGATTCTATTTATATAACATTCTTGAAATGACAAAATTATAGAATGGGGGAAAGATGACTGATTGCCAGAAGTGAAGAGGAAGAGGGGTGGGAGGGAAGTGGCTGCGCTACAATAGGGCAACATGACTGATGCTCCTGGTGATGGAGTTTTTCTGTACCTTGACTGGATCAATATCAATATCCTGGCTGTAATATTGTATTAGAGGTAGGCTTTTTGTTTTTTTGAGACAGAGTTTCATTCTGTCACCCAGGCTGCAGTGCAGTGGGGTGATCTCAGCTCACTGCAACCTCCACCTCCTAGATTCAAGCGATTCTCCTGCCTCAGTCTCCTGAGCAGCTGGGCTACAGGTGCGCACCACCAGGCCTGGCTAACTTTTTGTATTTTTAGTAGAGAGGGGGTTTCACAATGTTGACCAGGCTGGTCTCGAACTCCTGACCTCAAGTGATCCGCCCACTTCAGCCTCCCAAAGTGCTCGGATTACAGGCATGAGCCACCACACCCAGCCACTTAGAGTTGTACATGAATCTACAAATATCTCAAAATTAAAAGTTTAACTAAAAAAGAATCAAATAACATAATGGGTGTAAAAGCACTCTAAATTCCATAACTGTGAGCAATTTACTATTATGTATACTATGAGAACCATAGCACGGAAGTATTATTAGACTTTATCACTTATTCACTTAAAAGCACTTACTAAGTCCCGACTATGTGCAAGGACTAGGTTAGATGTTGCAGGGCACACAAAATTATAAACTTATGGCAAAATCATCAACTGTTCTCATGTTGCAAGTTTTGGCTGAGCCTGTGTCCTTTTTGTGAAATATAAGTTGGATGAAATACAACATACTTGTGTATGGGAATGTACATTTTATTTATTGATAACCACTGATAGCTATAACCAAGATCAAATGCTGATAACTAATTATCTTTCATAATTCATATAGCTAACTGTATATAACTTGACCAAAAAACCTCAAAGTTTAACAGTGA